CGGCCTTTTTCTTGCCCCAGGGTTTGTGACCCAACTGTCCTTGGAGCCATTTTGTTTGCTTTCTCTTCTCCTGTTGTGGTGTTAGGTGCTTCTCTCTCCTATACAGAGACACAGCAACTGATGATCATGATACCCCTTCCATCACAGGACTTTGTTCTTTATGCCTCCTCCTTTTTAGTTGGAAATCTCACATAAAGAACTGTATTTTCCCCCTGCCTATGTCTCTTTTGAATTCTTTTTCCTGTCAGTTACATATTTTTTTAATGCAATATCGTAATTGCTGCTTTAACTAAAGAACATTTTAAATTACAGTTTGTGATATAGGTTTTATAGAAGAAACTTGTATTATCAGTCCTGCTTAGCTACATGTAGTCAATAATCATTCTTTCCTGGATGTTCTTCAGTGTGACACCTCCACAGAGAAGGTCATTTTGTATCTGGCAGCTTATTGTTTGCCAATAATATATCTGTGCATAAATTGCTGGGTGAAAGATTGCCATGGTATCTTTCACTTAGCTGCCGTTGCTGTTTCTCCCTCTGTCCCCATCTGTGAGAAGTTTCATGATCTGATGGATTGCTGCTTGTGTCAGTCCAGAAATGTCAGTCCTCAGCTCTGCTGTTGGCTGCTTGTGATGCCAAAGGCATATCCTTAATCTTTCCAGATCTATAAAGTAAATAACATAATTTATTACTTACCTTGCATGAGCATTTAGAGTATTTAAAGTACATATGAGTATCACTCTAGCAGTGTGTATAGCGCTATGTATGAATGTTTGCTGGTAAGTGGATGATTTTTCAGTCTCAGCATTTTGAGAAGGTTCTCCTCTTTAGTTATGACTGGCAAGAACTTGAGTTTAGGCTGTTGGAATCACTTGCAAACCATCTCCCAGCTCAAAGTAGCTAAACATATCGTCTCTTCCTTGTGGACAGAAACACTTTCAGCTGAGGAAATCTGAAAAAGTTAACTCTGTACCACAAATGACAGCCTTCAATACTGAAATTAATTTTGGATTTCAAAATTCTTGTCCTTAAGTTACCAGCCACTGCAGGGCTAACTTTAACCATGATCTGAAGCAAGGAAGAGTTTAAAAGGTTGAAAGCCACAAGAAGCTGGCACAGTATGAAACCGAGCTTATAGTAGTTGCATCTTACTGAACTAGTCTGGGCTTTAGGTGTCCATGAATCCACAGAAAGATAGCTGGATTAGAGCTTGGGTGCCTGTTATTTTACTAAAAAATAACCATCAGTGCTTGATGATCCATAAATCTGACTTCTTGTGGGCTCATGAGGCAGATGACTCTGGGAAAGAACCCAGAGTCATACCACTCTCCTCTCTTTGCATCTCTGTGGCATCACCAGAACAGTATCTCCTGTGGACGTGCTACATGAAGTGTGTTCTGTCTCACTGCAAGGTGCTACATCTCTGGGAATCTTGAAAGGGGTTGAATAAGTAAATTAGGCTGTTTGGGAAAGGATTAAAATCTTGAAATAACTATGAATGTAAAATGGAGTGCTGGGTGAATGCCAGTGCCTGTGAAAGTCAGATTCATGCCACTGCTCAGGCTTCTGGAAAAGTGCATTTTGTAAAGTACATAAATGTGTATCTCTGAAAGTAGTAGCCTGGTCTAGTAGAGAACACATAGCTAGGGAGTGAAAGGACCTACAGTCTTTGCTCCTCTGGCACTGCCTTCTGTCATTTGCCTTCCTTATTAAGAAAGTAAACTTAGGGCAGAAAATTTTCCTACTTCATGTTAGTACAGTGTAATAAGGTCCTGGCCTTAGTGGGGGCTCTTGGTGCCACTGAAATACACACAGTAATAACAGTGGTGACCTGTTCTGTATCCTATTATTCCAGTATCCAGCTTCAGTTACAAGGAACAATTTACTCCAGGAAATGTGGTGGAAGTAACCACTAGAAAATATAGTTAGAATTTATTTTCTTTCCCTTTTAATGTCAGCAGTATATAAGCGTTGTTTTTCAGAAAGAAAAGAGGTGGCCCCTCAAGTACAGTCGTGCAGAGCTTTCCAAGTGTATTTAAAGATATCTGTATGAAATGGCCATCTGAGCAGTTTTCATGGGCTTCTGTGGTCAGAGGATTTCAGATTTGCCTGCGTGCGGGTAAAGGAGAGAAGCAAAACTGAATTATATAAAAAAAAAAAAAAGTTTCTCTCAGGGGCAGCAGAAGTCATCTTCTGCAAGTACAGTAGCAGTTCACAGACCTCCTTCTGCCAGAACAGAAACATTCTCCTATTCTCCTTACCTACAGCTGGTGGTGGTACAGGTGAGAGTAAAACCAACCATAGCAGATTTAGGCATCTACAGGGAAAATACGTCAGAATGGCAGAAAAACAAGGGACTTTTGTGGTAACGTTTCATTGCAGAGCTTTAAGAATCCAAGACCCACAAATTTACTAAGTCTGTCATATTATCAATTCCTAGGTGCTATTAGCTGAGACAACTTACAAATGGTTGGACTAGTAGCCTAGAGGAATTGTTGGCCTTTGCCAAGATAGATAGAAAGAGTGACATAGTTACATAGAAGATTCAAGTGAATCGGTCACCACAGTGTGTAGGTGTCAGGTTGGATAATAAACCTTTATTCTCTTTCTAGAACTGCAGTAGTCTACAACGGAGTGAGGAACATCAGATAAAAATACACTGACCACACATTGCCTGTAGTAACAAGGAACAGCCTGGCAAAATCAAACCAATCTAGTGGGTTAGAGGATGGAGTTGACAGCACATTCATAATTTTTTTTAACGACTCACAATTCACAAGGGTATTCAGATGGTACAAAGATGGAGGGAATCTGTGCTGTTTGTGGTAGAAAATCATTCTCCAACACCTGCTATTGAGGGTCATAGGAGTAACTGCAAATCAAGTGAAGGATATTTTGGAGTACTTCTGAGTTTCACTTCAAACTAATAGAGTTTTAGCCATTTTTTAGTGGAAAATTGTACCTTTATGATTTACTTTGTTGTGTGATAGTGTCAGGATTGCCTGTATGATGTCATATACCTCACCTCTTGGGCAGATATGATCCAAGATTGTAAGAGATGTTGTCAAATAAAGATGGTAATATGCAACCGATACATTATTTTATTTCCATGCTCAGGAGTCCCATTAATGCATTTCAGATGTGTGTGCACAGAAGTTACCAGTGAACTCTTAACTGAATGGGAAAATTGGTGGACACAGCAGAGCAGTAGAGTTGACAGGGACAAGAAGCTGAAAATTACACGTGTGTTTCAAACAGCCAACAGTTTTGCTTGGTAAATATTGTGTTTGGCTGTGGCAAACTAGATTAACAGCTTAACTCCAGGAAACATGAAATCACACTTTTATCACCACATGTGGCGAGTGTTCTTGTTTTGCATTCATTGTGATTTTTTTTTTTTTTTGGTATGTACTCTTGAAGATATGGTGCAAGGAGAATATAACACTTCATTCCAGATCAGATCCTCATCCCTGGCAGCCCATCAGCTAAGGCCCTATTCAGAACACCCTATATTCAATTATATGATTTGATCGTGGTAACCACTGGGACTCATCCTTGCAGAGAGAGATCTTTTAAAGCATATGCAGTTTATGTGGCAAATAGGCAAAAAAATAACCCAGGGAGTCTTTCAACTGTTTCACCAACATATGAACGTGATTGAATATTATCTCCCAAAGTGACTGACTTCATGAACAGAAGTGATTCAGCTTTTCCTGAAGGTCAGCAGCACAAAGTTGTTAGAAGAGAAAAACATTATGGTCTTCTGATGACCGCACTCTGTTTTC